ACAGTTGCACTGCAGAAAGTATAAAGGCATAGATGACCTGATTTTCTTCATTTCGGTACTTCGTTTGCATTAGTCATGTTCTTGGTTTTCTGGTGACTAGTTTACATAACCAGAATGCTATTTATACATGTTCGTATCATTACTTTAAATTGAACAGCCAAACCTAGGAATGTATTTCCTGAACTAGGTAACAGTAAGAAATGAAACATTATCAATGGCAACGATGATGTTTTGGGGAGATGATGCTTTGATATTAATGTCCTCCAAAATATGTTTTGGGGACCTTAATGAACAAGTATAGGTTCCTTTCCCCAAGCCATTTAGTACAAGCTACTATTGCTTTAATACATTCATTTAATATGCTTTCAGATCTAGATCGGTAAACCATTTACAAGGTGTTTAAATTTTTGAGCAGTGCTTCTTTTGTTGTTGATAATACAGGCTAAGCCTGACACAATTTTCTCTGGACCAAAACGGAAAGCTATAACACTGATTGAAGCGGTTGCTGACAAGCCTTCATTAAGCAGTGCTCCAGTGAAAATTGTTACAGAGTGGAGTTGTGCACTTTGTCAGATATTTACTACAAATAAAGATTGCCTGAATATCCACTTCCAAGGAAAAAAACACAAACGCAAGGAGGCTGCTTTTAGAGAACACAAGGACGACAGAAACTACAGAATTGGTTTTTTTTCAAAGAAACCAAAACTTATGCAGCTTGTGGAACGTCCTTGCGATGATCTGATATCAGGGAAGAAATCAGAGAAAGAATCATCAAGTCCAAACGACAACGATCCACCATCCTTGTTGATAGATGACAGTGCAAATGACTTGAGAAAGAACACAGCTCATGAAAAACAAAACAATGGGGAGTTCAAGTTTTGGTGTGACACATGCAAAATAGGGACCTTCTCCGAAAAGGTGATGGAGACTCATAAGGTAGCAAAGAAGCATGATCGGCATCTTCAACAACTATTTGGGAAGGACAAAGATGCAGAGGAATGATTGTGTTGGGCAAATTTCCGTCAACCAACTAGTTAGCTTATTTTTGTTTAAAGGAAATCTGATGTTATCAGTATTACCTTTGGATCCATGTGGTGTGATTTTTCTCTATTATCTATTTTGTTGCTCCTGTCTACCAACTAGTAGCTCATTGTTGTTTTTCATGGAAATTGGATTTCTTAATAGTACCTTTTGATACATGTGATTTGTCTCTTTATCTATTTATGCAAAATGTTCAAGTGCAAAATACATATATGTATGTTCTGCGAATATATGTATATGTCTATGATTTGGTTAGATGTGTCACCTCTCTCTAAAGCCAGGATTTCAGTTTATCTATTTCTTCTATTTTTTGAATTTCCCTTTATTTGATGTTAAGAAAATCTGCAGGAATTTAAATATTTTTTCTTTGTCACGAAACATTGCAGATTTTAACAACATTGTTTGTGTATCTTCCATTATTTTCTTTTATTTTTAATTCTATATTCACCTTGTTTTTTATTGTATTTGTTCAAATGTATTTTATGTTGTTTTTTTTACTGGTACACGTTATTTAAACTCACCATTGATTATAAGAATTCTTCACATCACGAAGTTCTTGATAATGAACATATGTACCCCCGTGAAATTTAAAATTCTATATATTTTGTGTACACTATAAATAGCGAAAATAATACTTTTAGTGTATTCAAGTATATATAAACAATATGAACTCTTAGGTCTCTATTTATAGTGTTATATAGAGACATACAAAAGTTTAGTCATAAACATGTTATGAAAGTGTAAGGTTACAAGAATAATGGTCATAAAGATGGAGGTTATCTTCATAATGGAGGGAAATAATGGAGATAATTAGTAAAAGTAACTTCTTGATAATGGAGATAATTACTATAGTATTTTATAACAATACTTGATTTTTTCATACAAGATCATTAGTTACTTAGAAGCCAATATATAAATTCTAGGAACAAATGTTACTTCCTACCTGATAGACGATAAAGTTGATAAAGAGAAACTCTTGATAATGGAGATAATTACTATAGTATTTTATAACAATACTTGATTATTTCATACAAGATCATTAGTTACTTAGAAGCCAATATATAAATTCTAGGAACAAATGTTACTTCCTACCTGATAGAAGATAAAGTTGATAAAGAGAAACTTTTGTAATAATTAATCATCGGTAACAAAACCCTTTTCTTTTTTTTGGTTTTCCACCCGGTGTCCGGAGCCCAGATTGGAGCTCCGACTATATCTGGATCGCGCACTGCAGGGCCCATTCGGAGGTGGCGCTCCCAACAAGATTTTCTCCATACCCAGGACTCGAACCCGAGACCTCTGGTTAAGGGTGAAGCACTCCCACCAGTGTACCACAACCCATGTTGGTAACAAAACCCTTTTCATTAATTTTAATAGTTGGATATTTGGGAAGAATCATTTCTAAGCTTTATGACGTGATATTATTGATGAGAAATGAACTTCTTTTTTAAGGAATAAACTTCAATTAGAGAAAACATGTAATTTAAACCACACTTTTTCACATTTGAAGGGTTGTAATTGTTGCAAGAGTTGTGACTTTTTTTTATAATTGTGATTTTTTCGAAAGATTGTGACTTTTCTGATAAGGAACAATAAACATCTATTCATACTAGTCTTTGTTGGCTATAAATAGAGGTTTCCCTCATTTTTTTATATATATGAATTTTTGATATTCTACTCTTCTTAATCTTGCTCTTTAAAAAGTCTTGTGTGATTTCTGATGGAAAGAGAAGAAGCAATGGGTGGAGGAGATAGATTGAAGTGCCAGGCGGAGGCCTTTGAGGAGATGATCTCAGAGGTGCCTTTTTGGTACCGTGCCGGAGAATCAAAATTTTCAACATTGAATCGAAGTCCAAAGGTGGAGATTTCAGAAGAACAGCCCCCTGGCTTTAGTGGAATCTTGCTGGTTTGTGTTCTTATTTATTAACTCTTTCAATAAATTGCTGGTTATTGAATAATCAACAACGTACCAGAATATTGCTATCATTACTTTAAATTGAGCAACCAAACCTAGGAAATAATTTCCTGGACTACGACATTCGTTCTTATACAACTGAGTACTGGCTTGGTTGAGACGAATCAGGAGAGATGATGCTTTAATTTTAATGTCCTCCAAAATATGTTTCAGGGCCCTTAATGAACAAGTATAGGTTCCTTTCCCCAAGCCGTTGTTCCTTGCTTTAGTACAAGCTACTATTGCTTTAATACATTCATTTAATGTCTATGAAATCGTCAATATGCTTCCAGATCGGTACAGTATTTAAATTTCTGAGAAGTGCTTCTTTTGGTGTTGATAATACAGGCTTAGAAACGGTTTCCTCTGAAGCAAAATGGAAAGCTATAATTCTAATTGAAGAGGTTGCTGGCAAACCTTCATTAAGCAGTACTAGTGCCCCAGTGAAAAATGTTACGGAGTGGAATTGTGAACTTTGTCAGGTGTGTACTACAAGTCAAGATGGCTTGAATGACCACTTGCAAGGAAAAAAACACAAACGCAAGGTGGCTGCTTTAAGAGAACACAAGGACGACAAAAACTGCAGCATTGGTCTTTTACCAAAGAAACCAAAACTTATGCAACCTATGGAATGTCCTTGCGATGATCTGATATCTGGAAAGAAATTAGAGGAAGAATCGTCAGCTACAAACGATAACGATCCACCATCCTTGTTGACAGATGACAGTGCAAATGACTTAGGAAAGAATGCAGCTGATGAAAAGCAAGACAATAGGGAGTTCACATTTTGGTGTGACATATGCCAAATCGGTACCTTCTCTGAAATAGTGATGGAGTCGCATAAAATCGGAAAAAAACACAAACGCAAAACAAAAACTGCAACATTGGACAAGCAGTGTTAATTACAAATGACGAGCAAAGATTATTTATTTATTGTGTCAAAGATGCAGAGGACTGATTGTGTTGAGTAAAATTGTGTCAACTAACTAGTAGCTGATTTTTGTTGTCAAGTAAATTTGGTCTTACCAGTATTGCCTTTGGATAATCATCAATGTAGTTTGATTTGTCTTTATATCTATTTTGTTGGTCCTGTCTACCAACTAGTACCACATTTTTGTTGTTTAAGGAAATCGGATTTATCAATATTATCTTTTGATACATGTGGTGTGATTTTTCTTGGGTTTTAAAAAGGTGTGAATGGAAAATGAAGAGTGATGACTTTTCTGAAGAGGTGCGAATGTTCTCAAGAGGTGCGACTTTTCTGAAGAGGTGCGACTTTTATGAAGAGTTGTGACTTTTCTAAAGAGGTGCGACTTTTCTGAAGAGGTGCAATTTTTATGAAGAGTTGTGACTTTTCTTAAGATGGGTAACTTTTATGAAAAGTTACGACTTTTCCATAAGATTGTGACTTTTATGAAGGGTTATGACTTTTGACTTTTTCAAGGGGTTGTGACATTTACGATAAGGCACAAAAACGTGTTCACACTACCCTTTGTTATCTATAAATAGAGGGGTTTTCTCTTATTTTTCAACAACGACATTTTTGAACTTCTTCTCTGCACAAATAAATGTGTACTTTGCTCCCGTTGAGTGATTCACTTATACAATTATTATTTTTAACGATACACTGGTGAGTAAAATCGTTTTATCCTGGAAAATATTTTTCAATAACATCGGATACTTGAGGCGAATAATTTCTTTAAGGACACACGTGCATTCAGTATCGGAATCGATTTTCTTCTTTTCTGTTTCAATTTATTGTTACAGAGTCTATTATCAAAGTTTTTTTAGGTGTTTTACTAATACAGATTGGACAACAATTGCATATATATATATATATATATATATATATACTAGAAGGGCATGGCCCGTGCTCACGGGCCCAACATAATTAGTTTGTTCGTTGTAAATAAAATGTTGCTGGAAATTATTCAGTTATAAAAGCACAAATTGCAAGGATTACATTAATTCGGGTTGTGTGTATGTTCTAATATAAGGAATGATCTGAAAAATGTAAAACAAAGTCTCAAGCATTAAAGCAACTCAAACAACTTATACAGGACAAAAAAAAATGCTCAAGAAGTTGTTCGGAACGTTATGATTTTACAATCTATCGTTCAAATTCTAGTGGTGTCCCAACTTCTGGAGTATACAATGTGTCATAAATAACGTAAACTCTTCAACTCTTTGTAAGCATTTTCTTTGCAGTGCCCAGAGAAATGCTATATGTTGTTCCTACAAATTACTGAAAAGGCCACGCACCAGAAATAGTGGGCAAGTTTATGTTAAATGTGTCAACAAAACAGAGAGGAAAAATATTCATGTTAAATAAATATGAAGTAGAAGAAATTAGATTCTAAATGAACAAATGCAAACTTGAAAATGCTCTTCCTTATTCCTGAAGAATGAGTATCAAAGGGATTGATCAAGAAAGATCTTCACAATTTCCGCATATTACAAATTTATATCATAAGATCTAGATAGAAGAAAGTAGTTCTTTTATAATTTAAAGTTTCATTGTACTTGTCATACATGTTCTAACTAATCCAAAAGCACATTTGACTACTGTTAATAGAAAGCAAAAAGATGAATGAGAGTTTATCTTTGAACTTATGTTTATATTGACCAAAATAGGTAAAAATAAAAAAGGAAATAAAATTGGATCAACTCTTTGGCAACTCATATTAGAAAGCAATCTTAAGATATCATGGACATAATTTTTCTTTTGTCCTGCTAAAGATTAGAACTTTAGTTTGTACTTTATTTATAAAACTATAATGAACAGTTGGGCTAATTTTTCTCATTTCATCTAGTTTACTAATCGTCTTGATTACTGGGTACAAAAAAATGAAACATGATCAATAATACATATCATTTTAAGGTCAAGTGAGTAGTAATTTTTTTACATGTAGTTAATGTAGGATCTGAAATATGCCTCAAAATGGCCTGAGCCGAAAGATTTTGCTTTTTTTATGGTAGTTGAGAAATGTAAAAATTCATTAGCTTCTAGCTAATGGCACCTAATGACTTGCTCCAAGTAGAACAACTTACATCAATGATAGAAGGGTGATAAACTTGAAATTGCTCTTATGCATACTCCTTAATTATTTAGTAATTTTCTGAGGTAAATGTCATTTGTATTACTCTTCAATAGCAACCCCTGCATAGTTGGACTCATCTTTCTTCTTCAAATCCTACATACCAAATTTAGGTCCCTGTTATAACTAAGCACTTCAACAAAATGGTAATCAATAAAAGGATTTACAATATGAACTGTAACTTAATAAAGAGACTTAAAAATCAACATTTTTCTTTAATTCATGCATAGAAAAGTTCCTTGCTATAGCAAAAAAAAAAAAATCATTACAAAGAATAATCAAGAGACGACGCTTCAAAATAACTGCACCTTAAATATTAAGATTCATATATGAAAGATCAAAAACACACATCTAATTAAGATACTCCACATCAAATATAGTAGTTGTACACCTCTCTTTTAGTTTGTGAAGACTGAAATAAAGTTCACAGAATTTCAATTATTTCTGACATCAATGAACAATTCTTTACTAAGAAGTTTGAAAACGACTTTCATCAAATATATTAATGTGTGAAGGAAAGAAGACCTCCACACTTGAAATCACATAGTAGATCATACTATAAGAAAACAGAAACACTCAAATGCTATTAGCTTCAAATAACACGATATAACAAATGGGTTAGAGATGTCACACACTTGCATCATTCAGTTACAACAAAAAAAAAATTGATTCTTGCGCCCACCAAGCTTGGCCTGATGAAAAAACTCTGCAGCAATAGGGATATAGATGTATTTTTAACTTCATTCCTTTGAGCTCATCGTCTACTCGTCTTGTTTACACATCATAAATTAAAATGAGAGTTTTCAAAATATACTTACATAAATGCATCTCCACACTTGAGTATTTGAATGCTAATTGGTTTCATGAGAAATGAAATAAACTATTTTGCCTCTTTATTTTCTCATGCTTTTTTTCCTTAAGTACCTCAGTTGAGAAAATGAGACGCATAAGAGAAGCTGTTAATTTTAAAAAGATATAAAGAAAGTTGCATATTAGCTTATCTAATTCCACATTGGAGGTATAATATTTTTACTGGATAGTCATGCAAACATTACAAGGAAAAGACCAGGACACACTTCAAGCTCCTAAGAAGATTTCTTTTCGAGATGTGAATAGGCAAGGACATGTGTGTACCCGTGTTCACGATGCAGTAAAAGTGGTATATTTCATATGAATCTCATATTACATAAAGCACTCAAGAAATTCTAGAATCAGATAGAAAAGAGAGAACTTGAAATGCAGAAATAAATCGACATGACTTCATATGCTTAGATCTAATTGATAAAAATATTGATATACAATGGATGAGATTGCACAATTTATCAGAATGAAAAAGTAATAAAAACGAAGTATTACCTTATACGTCTCTACTTATTTGATCCACACAAGTTAATAGTATATCATGGCGTCCATAATTATTGATCGTGAATGATCAAAATGATTTTTTCTTAGTTTGGTGAATGCTCTTGTTAAATTCTTCATTGCTATTAACTTTTTCATATATCATCTATGTTGCTCGGACTCTTAAAAATGCCAATGGGTACATGTCGGATTCTCCAAAGTAGTGTAATTTCAGAGAATCCGACAACGGTGTGGCATCAAAAGTGAAGAGTCCGCGCAACTAAGATGAGTATATGAATGGAAAAGCTCTCATATCGAATAAAGTTGTTCTATTTTCTCCCACCAAGCATCAGCCGGCAGAAAATACTATTTTCTCAACATGTAAGTGTAGAAACATTGGCGCCAATACTAAGTGCAGAGAGCCTCTTGATGACTACGCAAACTTTCACCTTTTTGGTGAGAGTTCGAATTCCGACTTACCAGTAAACAGAGCATCAACCCTAATCATAAATTGTAACATGCATACTGATAAATCTAACAATTACATCGAGCAAATTTAACAAAATGAAGAAATTGAAGTTAAAAAAAACCCGAAAAGGCAAAAACTCACCTCTCTGTACCATTAAATTCCAGCAAGTTTTCACCTTCAAAGCTGCCATTGTTGTCAATTTCCTTCTGATTTTCCTGTACATGAACTTCTTCCTTCTTCTCCTCTTCACCCTCAACAGACCCATAATTCCAAGATTGCCGTTCATCTCCCTAACCCTCAAACTCCGATTATGTCTTTTCGATTCCTTCAAAGGGTGTTTCCGTCTTTTCTTTTCAAAACCCACCAAGGGTTTCTCCAGCCTCCTGCTGCTCAGCTGCAAATAACATCCCCCACTCACATCACCGCCGCCTGAGCTCGATTTCTGCAAATTAAGAAGGCATAAATCATAATACATATATTGGACCTTAAACTTGGCTTCAAATTTTAACTTTGACCTCCAACTTTCAAAGTGCACAAATAGACACTTTAACTATCCAACCTTTTAATAAATAAACACGCGTGTCTTTTATTAAAAGGTTGGATAGTTAAAGTGCTTGTTTGTGCACTATGAAAGTTGGAGGTCAAAGTTAAAATTTGAAGCCAATTTTAAGGTCAAATATATGTATTATCCCAATTAAGAAAGCGTCCCAATTCATTTTGAAGATGCGGGCACTACGAAAATAAAACAATCATAAAAAAGTTAGATCCAAACCTAAAACTAAGTAATAATACCCTAATTAGCTTGTATTTTCCGTCAAAATCGTCAAACTTCTAGTTCAAACACATGCAAAACTAAAATAGAAAATATATCCAGAGGAACCCAATGAAAAAGCATGAATGAGACAATTCAGATAGAGGAGGCAGACGTATAAAGCAAAATTTGGCAAAAATAGACAAAGTAAAGGCATTAACCATGACTTTTGATGCCTTTTCCCCTACTTCATCGAGTGAACCAAGCTGCTCCAAAGAAGACAGACTTGAGAGGAAATTTTGGTTAAGGTGTAGGAGTTGAGTAATTGTAAGACATCTGTTTCAAAGTACCTACACGTGGCTATAAAGTACAATTGTTAAAGCACTTTGGTACAGGCACCTACAGTTGTATTCCTACAACCTCTCATTTTTTGGCTTATATTTGTTTGGCAAAGAGAAGTGTGCACACGTGTATTCATCAATCAATAAATAAGCCGATATAAAAGTACAATCCACACAACATGATGTACAGTTATATATTGCAGTGATAGTCCCTTTCTTGTTGGCTTATATATAAGAAAGATATAAGAGTGAAGTAATATATATATGATCTTGGTTAGATGTGTCATCTCTCTTAACCCAAGATTTTCATTTATCTATCGCTTCAATTTGATGTTCAAAAAATCTTCAGGTATTTAAATGAACTTTCTTTGTCACGAGACATTCAAGTATATTTTGTGTTGTTTGTTTACGGGTACATGTTATCTAAACACATAATTGATTTTAAGAATTCTCACATTATGAAATTCTTGAGAATGAATTGTAACAAAAGAATCATGGCTAAGCTATATGAGGCAATCATTGTTGGATATTAAAAGGTTTTAAAGAGAAATAAAGTATTTTTCTCAAAAGATATAATTTGAATAGCATATTTTCATATTGAGGGGTGATTATGATTTTTTTAAAGGATTTTAAATTTTTTAAAAGATTGTGATTTTTTCTAATAAGACACAATAAACATTTGTTCTACTATCCTTTATTGGATATAAATAGAAAAGTTTTATCTCAATCTTCATATACAAATTTTTCTGATCTTCTCTATTCTCTTCTTGAACTTTTAAAAGATGTCTATATTACCGTTGAATATGATTTAAATCGGTCGTCTTAAATAATAACATGATTGAAATGGAAGAAGGCTACACTGTATTAATGTCATTTTAATAATGAAACATATATTAATAAATAAGACAACCAGAGATTCTGGCTATAATTAATTTAACCAAAAGAATTAAAAGAATCCATGATGATCATAACCAAAAGCATGGTTATGAGGATAATTTGAAACATCCATAACAGGCTTGAAAAATGATTTATTACTATTCTCAACCATAATCTTGCTTGCATGAGTTATCACATTCTTTTTAAAGTCTTCCAAAGAATTTTTTAATTGCTCAAGCTCATGATAGGCAAGTTCACCTATAGGGGCTTCCCACCAATATTGACTTTCACAATTCTTCCTCATTTGATCAAATGCTTCACTCTTTTTCTCCTCAACTTCAACTTCATCAAGAATTTGAGTGAGTTGCAAGTTGAGATCATAAACATTAACATCATGTTTATTATGAGACTCAAAAAGATGAGGTGGATTATTGAAGATTGGATGAGGATTTCGTGAAAGAAACCTATTGATAACGGACTCAACATTAGTGTCCCCAAATGAGTAAGCTTTTCTCGCATGGGAGAAAACTATTATGGCAATTTCAACCCCACATAGCGTACATAGTTCACTAGCTTTATTGAAAAGTCCTGAACGACGTTTAGAGAATGTGACTTGGAGGTGATTCTTGACTTCTATTTTGGCAATTTTGATCTTCTGCCGACCCATGCTTGGCTTCTTTGCCATGGCTAAAAGTTTATAACAAAAACAATTCTTCTTAGAAAGGAAGTTTGAGTTTGCATTTCAAGTGTACTAAACATGTACTATTTAAAGGTGTTTTGGAATTTACTCTTTACTACTATATTTTTCTTACATAGCTGATCATGATGTGTGTTGATTTGGGAGTTACAATATATTAAAATTTAAATGTCTTAATTAATGTATGGATATAAAGGGAAACTCAATGCACCTTTGGTTGGCATATATTCCATATTTTTTCCTCATAAAAGTCAACAGTACAATTTTTTCTATATATCCCTTAATCAATAGTCAACCCTTTTATAAGTTGGTCCTAACGAAGCTTGTGAGGCTATCTTTTTTCCTTAAAAAGCGCTTATTTTAGAGAATTGAAGTGTTTGACTAATCTTTTAAAATATTTTTGAGTAGTAGCAAGAGTACCATTCACAAGTTGAAAAAGTAGCTTCTCCCTAATAATACTTTTTGAAAATTTGGTCAAGCATAAAATATTGCTCTAATATTAATAAAAATATTTTTTCAAATTGATTATTTGAATATATACAAACTTCTATTCTCTAAAAAAACTTTCAAAGAGTACTTATTACCAACAAAAAAAAACATATTTCAAAATAAAGAAATTTTGATGGTATGATCAAACATGCTATAACCATTAATCATGATAATCAAGAGGGTGAGTAACCTCTTAAAAGTAAATGATTATAAAGTAAGAAATAGTGAAACCGTTTACCACCATAAGATGAATAAATTTATGATTGAATTTTAAGTTTTAATTTTTATACAATTAATGAATTTTAATATATAGAGATAGACCTATATTACTTTATAGGCTTTACATTATAAGTGCATATAACTTAAATTTTATGTCGTTAAATTAGAAATCGATCATTTATTGCATATTAGAGAATTGTAACCTAAAGCCAAACTTGTCAATTCTCTTACAGTAAAATCTCACTAAATTAATTCTCGATTAGTTAATAATCTCTCTAAGATAATAGTTTTCTCCGGTCTCGATTTGGGCCAATGGAAAAAATCACTCATTTTTTATAAGATAATAAGATAATATATTTTCAAAGACCTCTATACAAATATATGGTCCCATTAATATTATAAATTAATAATTCTTTAAAAGTATAAATATATGTAACACAATTTAGTGAAATATGATTCTATCATGTTATGTTTTTTGTTAAAATTTAAATCTAGTTGAAGCTCATCCCTAACTTTTCTTATTGCATCCAAAAAATCCGGTGTTGTCTTTTTGGATTGCACCTTAAATTGTGAAGAGTTCAAGATGCGATAAGTGTTTCCTTACGCGTAACTGGATACAAAGGTATTGTATCATCTTCAACTTTATCATCGACATTATTTTTTTCAATGATATTCATAATTTGTTCTAAGCTTTGGACCTCTAAACATGTAACATTTTCACTCATCACCCCTCACTTCCAACCCGAAAGTTGCGAGTTCGAGTCACCAAGGGAGCAAAAAGGGTGGGAGCTCCTAGGGAGGGTAAAAAAAACATCCAATTTATTGCGGTAACGAGATCATTAACCATGATCTCAAGTTCATGAATGATGTTTTCACAAGTGGGTTCATCCAAATTCATTGAGATTTTATTCCCGAACAAATTTTTCGATGTCTAAATACTCATTAAATTAATATATATTAATTTATCGATTAAATAATACATCTACAAAATAATAATATTTCATTGTCCCACCTATATTTATTTAGAGAGGTTTTACTATAGTTAGATACTAATTATGAGAGGAAAGGACCAAAATGGTCCTTTATCTTTGAATTAAGAATCAAAGTAATCCTTATGTTTTAACATGGAGCACTAATAGTCCTCTGAGTTTCAATAATTAGTACATATTTGGTAAAACTCAGATGACTATTAGTGCTCCATGTTAAAACACAAGGATTACTTTGATTCTTAATTCAAAGTTAAAGGCCGATTTTGATCCTTTCCTCCTAATATTCTATGAACGGAAATCAGAATGCCACGATAAGAAGCTCAACATATTTGGTGATCTAAAGTCAAATTTTGGTGATAGGCAATGTATATCAATGCAAGTTATGCAATAGAAATCAATAGTGTTATCAATACCAAGTACCACGTAACAAGTATATACACATACCTTCTGCCCCCCACATGCTAGGTAGGACCCATGTGGATACCCCTCCTCCTGTTCAGTGGATCACACAGACAGAGGGACAAAAAGTCTGTATATACTACCTAGTCCCGATGCAGGACTCCGTAACCTATCCGGCATAGTATCGGATTTTCTCTATCATGGTACCAGAAATACATATCAACCTCATTAAAATAAAAAAGGTCGGCATCCACATCGATCTATCAAGTATATAGTGAGCACATCCCCAATGCCTCTTTATCTAAAAAAACATATTTCAAAGTGGTAAAGGTGGTACGACTCACATTAAAATTAGTTTACGAGTAAAAGTGCAAAACCATACTATCTCAAAATAATGGTAGTGAGAATCAATGTATTTACGGGAATCATACCACAAAACACGTGAAGGTTAGTATCAATGCAATGCATGTCATCACCATCATCCAAACAATAGCATCTAAAAAACCTAATGTACATAACCAAAATCACCTCACTCCCAGAGCATAAAAATCGAACATGAAATCCAACTGGTCCTCGACCATGGCCCCGGGACATATAATATTCTAATATACTCAACAATTGCAACATAATAGGATCATCACTACTCAGGAAATGAAGGAATTTATGAAGGATCAAACAATCCAAAAAGTAACTCAAGGATCTCAACCTTTACCTGAAAGTACTACTCAAGTGAAAAATAAGCGCAACTAATGCCAACCTACGGCTATAACAAGCAATTAAGATTCCATGTACTAACGGAGGGTACCAAACCGTAGCAATTACTACAAGGAGCAATATAATACTAGAAAATCTCTAAGAACTCATTCTAAGGAACCTAGATCACCAACTATTATAAAGCCTCGAAGAGGATAGAACCACCAAAATAAGCCACAAGTAATGAATTTACATCCTAAGCTAAGGATTTCACAGGATAGAACTCTTTAAGGCTCCAACGAGAATCAAGAAAATAGAAATGAAGTAGTAATCCTAGCCTGTCAAATACTATCCCAACCCACATGTAATATATACTAAGAATTATCTCATAGAGAAAAATCTAAAAGAAGTTCGACTACAGTCTATCTAGAAGTCGAACTATAATCTCAAACTCTCCACAAGCTGCCTGACTCTTCTCCACATCCTTTAGATGTCT